TCGTGAATAGAAAGCGGAAGCCACCGCTGCACTTGCGCTCGCTCCTTTGTCTCGCGAGAGAGTGTAGAGAGAGAAAGAGTGAGATAGGGTAGATAGAGATAGAGAGAGAAACAAGTAGAGAGAAAAAGAGCTATTTTGTCTCGTGAGAGAGTGTAGAGAGAGAAAGAGTGAGATAGGGTAGATAGACATAGAGAGAGAGAAAGAGTGAGATAGGGTAGATAGACATAGAGAGAGAAAAAGAGTGAGATGGGGTAGATAGATATAGAGAGAGAGAAAGAGTGAGATAGGGTAGATAGACATAGAGAGAGAAGAGTGAGATAGGGTAGATAGACATAGAGAGAGAAAGAGTGAGATAGGGTAGATACACATAAAAAGAGAAAGAGGGAGGACGGGTAGAGGTAGAAGAAGAGATAAAAGGGGAAGAAAGAGAAAAAAAGAGTAATTTTGTCTTATTGAGATTTAAATACAAGATGGAAAAAATAATGTTGGATATAAAGTAACCGAAAATTTAGATTTAAATATAAAAAAATAAATAATGTTGGATATAGAGTAAGTAAATAATGTTGGATATAAAGTAACCGAAAATTTAGATTTAAATATAAAAAAATAAATAATGTTGGATATAGAGTAAGTAAACAATTAGAGTGTATCTAAATTTTTTGGACCATCCATTTTAAAAATCCGAAAATCGCAAGCATCGACTTGGACAACCTGTCATGAATTTTAATATCGAATTATTTTTTACCTTTTTTGCCCCTACTTTCTGGGAACCACCTTCAGTCTTATTCCCTCTTTCCCCTAAAAACCCTCCGCCTTCTCTCCCGCCGCCCCGCCCCGCCCCGCCCCGCCCCAAAAACAAACCCTAAAAACCCTCCACCGCTTTTTCTCTCCCATTTGCAGCGGCATTGTGTTTTTCTTTGCTAGTAGAGAAACCTCATTTGCAGCTTTAGAGAGAGATACATTGGCAAAAGATATATAGAGTGGAACTGGACAAAGCCATCTCCTACAGATAGTGTGAAAAACAGGTACAGGTAATGAAAGGACAATGGGCTTACAAGAAAAAGGAAGAGGCGCAGAAAGGAAGTTCCTGATTTATCTTTTGAGGCAAATAAGTCATCAAAGAGAAATTCCTTAAGCTCTTCATCCCCAACCACCACGATGAATCTTCTGCATCTTCAATTGAGGAGGAGCAGCTCGGCTCGGTTGCCGCGGGGATCTGGCTGCCTGAGTCCTCGGTTTCACTGGAACTCGGCATCTGAAAAACCAGCCCGGCCATGTCGAAACTGGCCATGACTGTGGTCTTTGAGTCAGAGAAGGACGGGCCGACCGACCGACCATTTCATTTTGCAGCTTTCCACTTTACCTTGATATGAACCAATTTCCCCAACTTTTGACAAAAAAAATGAAATAGACTGTAGAGAAATAGATAGAAGGAAAAAGTTCATAAAGTGCCAGACTCTAAATAATCAAATTATGCTGCATCTCAAAAATTTCACTAGAAGAGGTTGTTTCGATACCCAAATATCATCAAATTGATCATCTCGATTTCAAGATTAATGGATATGAGAAAAAAAAAGATTTCAAGTTTTAAAAATAATGCATCTTGTAAAGCAGTTTTGGACTGTCAATTTTCAAGATTTTCACATATCAGCTCGATTTACTCTTTTTTTTGAAACTTTAAATTTTGTAATCAGAGGTGAAAATATATTTCAAGGCTATCACAAAGATTTCCAATAGTAAAACCACATTTCTCGACACTGTCTCGACTCTATACAAACAGCCTATAGATAGGGTTAGAAATCGGCCTAGCAGCCTAAATTGGCCATAAAAAATTAAAGCCTATGCCATAATTTGTGGCCCAAGGGTTAGGTTTGGCTCGGCCTAGCCTTTTTTTTATTTTTATTTTTATTTTTTATTTTAAATTTATTTTTTTGTCCGTTCCGCTCCTTTTCGGTCCGGTCTTATTAGGACGCCGAGACCAAACGCTGGCCAGACCATGCAACCCTTACTTGTACCACCGTTGGGCCTTTTACCCGGTGGCAATGGGCAGAAGAAGACAAAGTTCCGTCAAAGGCATATTCTAGGAAAGGGTGCGGTTACAATGAGGTTGCAATCTTAAAAGATCTAATTAAGGTGTACTTACCTTTTAATTTTATCACAGTATAATTTTACTGTAAAACATTATTAGAATTAATTAAAAATTTATTTTTATATCTAATTATAAAAATTTAAATTTTAAAAATGATTAAAATAATATAAATTTATAAATTTTTAAAAATCTAAAAAATAGACAGTCGAAATGATACGTTTCAATTTGTATTATTTATAAAGCTCAAAAAATACATATTTTTGCTTCATATTCATATATTTAGTTGTTGAGAGGGTCAATTAGAAGGCTTTCAAACATCAAAACAACATTTTTCTACTTATTTTTGAGACGAATCTTTAATTTTACATTTGAAGGTTGCAGCCTTATGTAAACTTTTCCCTCCACACATACAGAAACACAAACCCTGAGTCATAAAGCGACGGACACGTAATTGACACGTAACATAAAGAGAAAAGGACAGCCTCCCAAAAATAGGCCCTCTTCAACTCCGTCCGTTTTCCATTGAAAAGTCGATTCGTCGGTTCAAAAGACAAAAAAATCATCGAACAGGAGGCAGAAACCAGAAAATTTCAGCGATTTTGTGTTGAGAGCTCAAGAATAGGCTTCCACTTCTTGAAAAGAAAAAAAAAATGTGTAAGGGGGAAAAGGCAGAGGCGAAGAAGAGGCTGAGAATCCTGTGCCTTCATGGATTTAGAACGAGTGCTCAGATTCTTAGACAGCAGGTAGGAAAGTGGGGAGATTCAGTGACTGATAAACTGGATTTGGTTTTCGTCGACGCCCCTTTTCCTGCAGAAGGGGCTTCTGATGTGGAGGGCATCTTCCCTCCTCCTTATTACGAGTGGTTTCAATTCGACAAGGTAAAATATACACTCTTTCTCTCTCTTGTTTTGGAGATGGTTTCTCTCATGACTTGGTTCTCTGTCGTTGAGATATCCTCCGTGATTTCATCTCTTCTAGTTTTCGACGTAGATTTCTCTTTCTATGTCAATCCTCTTCGACGTAGTTATCTCTCTTTATATTGTGGATTGGTGTTGATTGCCTTTTTATTCAGGAATTTTTGGAATACCGGAATTTTGAGGAATGTTTGGCTTGCATCGAGGATTCCATGATCAAGCTTGGTCCCTTTGATGGGCTTTTAGGGTTTTCTCAGGTTTTTATCCTTTTTCTCTTTTGATGCCTCGTTATTTTACAGAACTATGATTATTAGGCCGGGCACAATTAGGAAAACGAAAGCAAAAAAAAAGGAAAGGAAAAAATAAGGGCCTGCTGGGCGGCCCAGCTCCCTCCTACTAAATTTTGTGGTCCAGACCGTAGTTTTTTAAGGGCAGCGCTAACCGAGCCGGACTGGGCCATTCAGCCCATTGCGAACCTTAGTTATTGACTTCTATTGTTTTTTCCTTGTAGGTATATTTATTTGATTATTTGTTGTTTGTGGTGGTGTAGGGTGCTATACTTTCCGCTGCATTGCCAGGCCTGCAAGCAAAGGTAAGGGATTGAATTTATTTAATGTCCTTGGCATAACCTAAGATTAGTTTTTTATATGTTTTCCATTTTTGGATTTGTAGGGTTTGGCCCTTACGGAAGTTCCAAAGATCAAGTTTGTGATCATAATTGGAGGTGCCAAATTTAGATGTCCAAATGTGGCTGAGAAGGCCTACTCTTCCCCAATTACGTGTCCATCTCTTCACTTTTTAGGTATTTCTTTCTCCATTTTTTTTTTGGTGCCCGAGAGCTCTTTGTTCTTTTCCTTGGCTATGGAAAAGTTTAGAAATAAAATTTTTATATATTTAAATAATAATGGGATGATATAGATAAAACTTTACATAGGAAGAAATCTTAGTAGATATATGTATTTTTTTTTTGAAAGTCCTGTTTTTTTAAGAGACTTTAAAAAAAGAAGAGTTTATTTTAGCATTTTCAGTCAGGGTTTTCAGTTACCTTAAAAGGATATATGTATTGCATCTTATTTGGCAAAGTGAATCAGAGTAGGAAGAGAGCAAATACACATAAAGGAAAAGAAATAATAAAAGATTGAGAGATTATGATCTTTTTACACTTTACAGGGAAATCAACACCAATAAAGTCCCGTCACAAGTCTCAGAAAACCCAATATTATTCGCTCTCAATCTTTTATATCGATTTGTTTTCGATTGCTAGCTCCACTACTTCAAATTGTGTAACAAAGACCACTTGTATGAAATTTGTAATAATAACAAGCAAGGGTAAAATTATTTATGTTGACTTCTACTGTTAACCTGGTGGGCAAAGCATTCACTCATATGAGATTCTAGTCCTACCAAATGACAAATTTATAAGGGTTGTTTTCATAGTTAATAAATGTTATTTTCATGATTCTTGATGTGATTTTTTTTCTTTCTTTTCTTTAGTTTGTCTAATGTTAGGTAATCGTTTGAAAGGGAACTCTGTTGGAATCAACAAAAAACTGGGTCAGGTTAGCATGGCGTATTTTAGGTGTAAAATTAATGCTTCAATCCATTTTTTTTTGTGGGTAATTCAGTCATCTTTGGTAATCAAAATTCTGTCCTTAATCTTTTGAAACTAATTATGTGCTATAATTGATTCCCAAGAAGCAAAATTTCATGATTAGGCATATATACATACCAGTGAATAGCACATGCATTGCAAGATGCTCTTGTTGAGATATTAGATGAAAATAAATTCTGAAATATCTAATAAAAAATAATCCACTCTTATTTTTTTCATTTTTAGATTCATTCAGTGTTATATTTATGGCTGTTTGATTTCTACTGTACCTTCTTCTAAGTTTTTGGATTTTGTGTTTCCAATGCTATTATAGAAATTCTATTTTATATAATTCTCCTTTTGGTTTGTTTAATTAGCATACAAATACCCTTTCTAACTTTTCTTTCAATCTTTTGTTTGCTTCTATTTTTTTATTTTATTTACCTTTTTTAATCAAGAATTGGATAAAACATGAAAGAGAGATTTAAATTGAAACGAACATGTAATTTTTGGGACGGAATATAAAGAGAGAAAGTGTGGAACAAATGTTAAGAAATTTGAAAGGGAAAATAAGAGCGGTAAGAGATTTATTGCTTGGACGGAATATACAGAGAGAAAGAGTGGAACAAATGTTAAGAAATTTGAAAGGGAAAATAAGAGCGGTAAGAGATTTAAAAGTTGCTTTTACAGATATAGATTTTTTAACAATCTATGGCCTTTGAATGATCGATGTATCCTCAATCATCTTAAGGAATTTTGACAAAAAATGGCATAGCTTTGTGGGGAATCAACGGTATTTCAGTTTTTCAACCCAAATGTTGAGGGAATTATTCTATGAAAGTTTTGTTTGATTTTTCATTGTGGGTTGACACAATTTCAAGCCATGAGTTCTAAGATGAGCTTCTTATTTGATGTTTGACAGGTGAGCATGACTTTTTGCGGCCGCATGGAGAGGTGCTTCTGAAGTCGTTTGTTGATCCTGTGGTTATCAAGCATCCAAAGGGCCACACTGTGCCTAGGCTTGGTACGTGAAAATCATTATAGCTCTTGTGGATTTTTTTTTTTAATTGTTTATATAAAACCTCTACTTTCTTTATAATTTTGTTCATTTGCTGCAGACGAAAAAGGTGCGGAGACCATGTTTAGTTTTCTAACTAGAGTAGAGAACTTCATTGCATCAGAGGCTCCCACAGAAGATATTGCAGACTGATTGCAGGATTAAGGTGAAATGGGAAAATTAAGGCCCTAAAGAATATGTATCTCCTGCTTTATTCGAATGGAACTTTCCTTTGGATCAAATGCCTATTGAAAGAGGCTGGGAAGTCCTCATGTTTCTATATGCGCTAAATTATTATTGATAAAATCCCTCTTTTTTTTCTCTCTTTTTTTTTTTGAGAATTTTTTTTTATAAAAGACCTTCAAAATTAATAATTAAGCAAAGTTTGGCCTGAAGGACACGATGCCTGTAAGAAACCATGGGGCAATTATCATCGATTGAGATGGAAACTGATGGTTTTGGTAGTTCCTAGCAGAACACACTGTTACGTATCGCATGGTGGTCTGTCATTTCATGGGGTATTGGTATATCGATGGCAACAATTTTGGTTTTAGGTTTATTGTACACTTGTGGAAAACCATGATTCATTCCACAAATCTCTTCTTTTTTTTTTTAATGTCAGTTGACACATAAGAATCAAACTAAGAATTAAGAAACGATGCATTTATTAATGGATTCAAGCAGTGGCATGAATAATATTGCAATGAAAATTTGGTCAAGATGGAATGGTGCTCAGCGCATGTAGCATGCCCCTGGGTAGTATATTGCTTTTATAATATTGCAATTAAAATTTGGTCAAGATGGAAGAATGCTCAGTGCATGTAGCATGCCCATGGGTAGCATATTGCATATTGTCCATTAACTGATGGTGGAAAGTGAGTTTTTCTAATTGAAATTTTGTGGTCTACCATAAGAATCTTCAAAATGATGTGGTTTGTATGATGTTGCAACCTTAAACTATCAAAAACTAAGACGCTCCTGCAATTTTATATTTTGTATTCTTTGTATTTATCTTTTGACAATATTATGGACTTTTATTCATCAATGATTAAGTACAATTGTCTCAAGAAAACAATACATAATATACTATAGTGGAATGTAATTCAAGTCCCTGCTCTGCAAGATCATCAGCAATATGATGAGTTTTTGAGATGCACCTTAATTCTATATGTTAAGGTTGCAACTTTATATAAACTTTTTCTTACTCAAAAACAGAAAATTATCTTTTGGATTTTGACTTTGTTCAACATATAAACCTGGTCATCCAAAAGTTGGATCCTATATCTTCAATTGTAGGATGTGATGTTTTTCAAGCATCACAGATTGCGTTTATTTCCTATACTAAGGTTAGCCACGAGGTTGAAGCGGTTACGTCCCCAAACTCTATTTGAAATAAAATAAAAAAAGGGAAAAACAAAAGCCGGTCCGGTGGTCAATTAAGAAGTTGAGAAATGAGGATTGGGTTGTGCCATACAAATAAAATAGTATACAAATAATGATGTATTTGACGAATCGATGTAATCCAATAACGGACTATATTTTAATGAAAAGTTTACTTTATATTATAAAAGTAAGGCGCACCTCAAAAACCCATCAAAATAGATTGCTTTTACGTTGCAAAATAATCCAATTGATCATCTTGATCTAGAGATATATGGATATGAAACAAATTTGATTTTGAGTCTCGAAAATGGTGCATAATGTAAGGCATTATTCAGGCCATCTATTTTCAAGATTTTCAAGTGTTTATAAAATCTATTTAATCATTATTTTTAGAGCTTTACAATTCATAATTAGGAACAAGAATGTGTTTAGGCCATCACAAAGTTTGCTGGCACAAAAACTACATCTTTTAACATAATTTGGGCCTTACTTGGATTAGTTAAGGTTGACGCCTTATACAAACCACACTCTATTTTAATTAGTTCATAGTTGATATTAGTATTAGTTGAGAATTTTGTGAGAGATTTTTCTAAAAAGTTTCGTTGATGCCTAATCCATATCAAGTAGACCCTGTCTTTGGGAGAATTCTTAAAGGTCCTAAAAATGGTCATAGATTAGGTGTTACCTGGAAGAGTAAATGGAGAAAATGCTCCTATGACAGCATACAAACTTTTAACGGTAAAAAATGTTTATCCTAGAAATTTTGTCTAGAGCTAGATAAAAATGGACATCCATCAAAGTGTACCGTGAAAAACGAGGAATGGTCCATAGTTGACCAACAATGTTTTAAATCAAAGGAGGAGCAAAGTATACCAATATAAAAGCTTTAATGGATCAACTCAAGTTTTATAAAATCACAAATTTGGATCAAGAATCATTGCTCGACTTGATCCAGACTGTATTCAGTGATTCATGATACAGGGAGAAAAAAAAATAAAACTAAAAATAATAATAATACTAATGATAATGATCATAATAATAATAGGGGACGAGATATTATACCTCTCTCTAGTTTACCAGGGAGTTCATCCTTAAATATCTTTTCACAAGATCAAAAACACCTACTTCATTCTCCAAAACTGTTTCCAAAGAGGGGTGTAGTGCCCCGAAAGAGAGCCGAGAGGTTCGTGACCACCTCAACACCTATAAGACATTCTACAAACTGGTATAGATAAAAATAGTATTGGAAATGCGATCGCCACCCTTAGAGGAGGCCAAGGGACCTATAATTATGCTTATGCAAGTCAATAAACTTGCATATTCATAATACACATTAAAATTAAGCAAGGATTTGGGAATTCACTCAAAACAACAAATCTTAGACCGATCTTAAGATAGATTCTTAAAGGGCATAACACTTGTAGCACCTATACAGTGATTCTACACTCACTACAAAAAACTCTAAGTATCCTTTATAGAAAATTTGATCTTTGGTATTAGAAAGGGATTGCAAAAGTACTAAAGAAATGCAATATAACAATAGAGAATTGACATTTGGAGGAAAAATAGAGAGATGAAGATAAATCACTCAAAGCAATATAAAATGTTAAATAAAGAATGAATTACCTTCTACAAGCCCTAAATCATCAACTCTTTGAAGCTTTTGAAGATGCATAAATTGATCATGAATCAAGCAAGCTTTGTAGATTTCTTCTTTTCTCACAAGAATTAACATAATAATAACATAGCCGCCAAAAAGTAACTTGAAATTTCATGGTAGGGCTATTTATAGCCTTTTGGAGGCCTATGAAAATTTGAGTGAAAATGAAATCCAAAGAAAAAGAGCGTGACTTCAAATGGCGCTCTGGGGCATGATTCTAAGTCGCACCCTAAAGATATGCCATGCAAAACGTGGGCCCCGTGGCTTTAACATGTGTCCAATAGGCATGGAAATAAAGACACGTGTCCCAACGATTAGTTGACTGGCTATGGCATTATTCTAAATCGTGCCATCGTTTGGCCCAAAATAGGGCGTGATTTGAAGTTACGCCCTTGGGATACTATTTCAAGTGGCGCTCTATTATGGACGTGTTGGCCTGTATGTAGAATGTGAGCCCTAGAGTGGCTCCACGTGTGATGTGAGCGGTGGAAATAAAGACACATGTCCTAGAGACTAGTTGACTGGCTGTAGCACTATTCTAAATTGTAGCATCGTTTGGCCCAAAATAAGGTGCGATTTGAAGTCGCGCCATGGAGCACTATTTCAAGTGGCGCCTTATTTTGGACAAGTTCACCTGCATGCAGAACGTAGGCCCTACATGTATGATATGTGTCGCAAAAGTTATTCGAGTAATGCCACGTGCATCAACGATCGTGTAGGAGGCAAACAAGGCGCGACTTCAAATCACGCCCTGGGGAGCTATTCCAAGTAGCACCCTGAAACATGGTTCTTTTGACTGCCGTAAGAAATAGGGTGCGACTTCAAATCGCGCGTTGGGGTGCGATTTCAAACAATGCTTTGAGGAGGGCAAGGGACCTATAATTATGCTTATGCAAGTCAATAAACTTGCATATTAATAAATACAGACTAAAATTAAGTGGGGATTGTGGAATTCGCTCAAAACAAAAAATATTAGACCAACCTTAAGATAGATTCTTAAGGGCCCTAATACTTATAGTACCTATACAATGATTCTATACTCACTACAAAAAACTCCAAGAATCCCTTATAGAAAATTTGATCTTTGGTACACAAAAAGGGATTGCAAAAGCACTAAAGAAATGCAACATAACAACAGAGAATTGACATTTGGAGGAAAAAGAGAGATGAGGATACATCACTCAAAGCAATATATCAAATCAGCAACTCTTTGAAGCTTTTGAAGATGCATAAATTGATCATGAATTAAGCAATCTTTGTAGATTTTCTCTTTTCTCACAAGAATTCAGCATAATAATAACATAGCCTCCAAAAGGTAACTTTAAATTTCATGGCAGGGCTATTTATAGACTTTGGAGGGGTACCCTATGAAAATTCGAGTGAAAATGAAATCCAAGGAAAAAGAGCGGGACTTCAAATGGTGCCCTGGGGCGTGATTCTAAGTCACGCCCTAAAGATATACCATGCAAAACGTGGGCCCCGTGGCTTCGACATGTGTCCAATAAAAATAGAAATGAAGACACGCGTCCCAATGGCTAATTGATTGATCGTGGCACTATTCTAAATCGCTCCATTGTTTGGCCCAAAATAGGGCGTGATTTGAAGTCACGCCCTTGGGATGCTATTTCAAGTGGCGCTCTATTATGGATGTGTTGGCCTGCATACAGAATGTGGGTCCTAGAGTGGCGCCATGTGTGATGTGAGTGGTGGAAATGAAGACACATGTCCCAACGACTAGTTGACTGATCGTAGCACTATTCCAAATCGTGCCATCATTTGGCCCAAAATAGGGTGAGATTTGAAGTCGCGCCTTGGGGCGCTATTTCAAGTGGCGCCCTATTTTGGACATGTTGACCTGCATGCAGAATGTAGGCCCTACATGTATGACATGTGTCGCAAAGTTATTCGAGTAATGCCATGTGCATCAACAATCGTGTAGGAGGCAAACAAGGCGTGACTTCAAATCGCGCCCTAGGGCGCTATTCCAAGTAGAGCCCTGAAACATGATGCTTTTGAACGCCATAAGAAATAGGGTGCGACTTCAAATCGTGCCTTGGGGTGCGATTTCAAACCGCGTCTTGGAGCATTATTCCATGTAGCGGCCTAATTTTTGAAAGATAGAAAAACTATAAAAAAAAGGCACTGTCTCGAAGGCACCATAGCATCTTATCTCTATAAGGTACAGATATGTGTCGATTGAAGTTTGAAGTTATGTAGATCTAGGTGAAGTTCATATCCTTAACACATATCTTCGGATGTCGAGTATGTACAAGGAGCCCCACATCTTTTAATACAAAAAAAAATAGAAACTAAAAAATAAAAATAAAAATCTATCACCCACATAACTACCTTTCAACTCTTCCTAATCTCTCTCAAATCATATATCTTGTAATGCATTTCCAATTCTCCTTATCTCTCTCCCTTACAAGACTCAACGAACTCTCCTCATGGAGATAACCAAGATGGGCAGAATATTATCCCACAAAAAAAAGAAAAGAAAGAAAAATTCGTGGTCCCACCATCACCTAGCCTATAAGAAAGATTATAACCAATAAAAATACAAAATAAAAATAAAAAATGTTGAATTTTTCTATTATTTTATTGTATAATTGTCTCGGGGTTGCGAGAAGCTCCACCTTGGGCTTGAAAAGTCGAACTTGAATCAAAGCGCGTCCCCTTCATGACCACGTAGGAACATTTCTGGACCTTAATTTTCTTCTTGAACTTTGTCTACTTCTTTAGTCAGGTGTATATCCGTCTTCGTTTTTTTGCATTCAGTTGTATGACATCCGTTTTCATTACACGATAACACGTAACCTTTGAGGAATTCTTTTCTTCTTCATTAAATTTTAGTGCGTGTGAAATTTCTTTCTGGGTGTATAATCGCTTATTGGTGCTCCATTGATATTTGTTTTCTACTTGTAAAGCAATTTAAAAAGCTTCACTTAAGGTCTATGACCGATGTAGAAATACCTCGTGTTTAATTATCGATTGGAGCCCGGTAACATACTAAGCAACCTTTTGTCCTTCAACCTCTTGGAGTTTGTTTGGAGCCATTAATCTATAAAATTCCATGGTATTGGCCTCAACTTTCTTTACATTCTGCTACAAATTTTGGAGATCTTGAAATAAAATTTGCTCATGATTCACATGAAGAAAATTTTATTTCAATATCTTTTTCATCTTTTGCTAGTCAAAAATTTTTGCTTTTCCACTAGGAAGTCAGGTTTGCTGAACTTACTCCTACCAGGCTGCAGCACACCCGCGGAGCTTGATTGCAATAAGTTTAACTTTTACTCATTGAGCAATTCGCTCCATTCGAAATTTTTTTTTAATCGCACTCAACAACTCAATAGAAGCCTCTATGTGGAGCTTATCAAAAAATTCATGGAGATCAACTATAATATTGAAATCTCTAGGACACTCTATAGGATGTATTTCTTGCCTGCAAATTTTCTCATTATGGTTGGATTTAGCACCCTGAGTTGGACGTGAGACTATTGGAGCCAGATCTACGTGGTTGCAAGCACATTCTTCTCGGTAAACGGTATTTTCCAATTGTTGCTACCATTGATTTACTTAGCTGATCTATCCTCGTAGTTCACACATCTCATCTTACATAGCTTTAGTTAAACCTACTATAATTTGTGGCAGGCGATCATCGATAACAAGATTATATTTCAATAGCATTGTGATTAATGGATCTTACTTGTTTTGACACCATTTGATACATGGAGAAAAAAATAAATAAGAAAATAACAATAAAAATAAGGGATGATAGTTTATACCCTCTTTTTGAGTTTGCAAAGAGTCCACGCTCACAAGATCATAACACATACTTCATTCTCCAAAACCGGATTCCAAAGAGGGACCCCATCTCTTTCAATACAAGGCAATTAAAAAAATAAAAAATAAATAAAAGAATAAAACTGTTCCCACATAACTACCTTTCAACTCTATCTTATCTCTCTATAATTAGATATCTTGTAATACCTTTTCAAGTCTCCCTTATGTCTCTCTCTAATCACGCTACTTACAAGACTGAAAGAAATCTCCTCTTGGAGATATCCGAGATGGGAAGAAAATTGTCCCATTAAGCTAGAACCCTCACGCCAAAAGAAAAAGAAAAAACAGAAAACAAAAAGAAAAATTCACACCCCACCATCAACTAGCCCATAAGAAAAAAATTGTACCCAATAAAATTAAAAAAAATGTATTCCCCCCCCCCCTTTTTTTTGCATCAATTTATTTGGCCAATCCCTCCTGGAATAAAAAATCGTCCTCAGGTTTGTTTGATGATTACAATCATCAAACATAATATGGATAGAGAAGATGGATTTACGCAACACTTTTTTTTTTTTGTTGCATTATTTTTCTTTTTCAGTTGAATTGCTAATATGGGCGATTGATTGAGCCAATGCAGACCAGCTCAGTCGAAGGCAGATCCATGATTTAAAACATTGGATCCGCTATTTTGGATTACTGTTGAAAGTGATGCAACAGATGAAGTGTTTTGACGTGTTCGTGAAAATGATGAGCTTCATTACTTAGTAAAAGCACTTTAGGACTTAAAAATGATGTGGAAATTGGAATTCTCCTTCAAAAACCTTTACACTTAGGTCCCTATCAAGGAATACCACATTATGATTATGATTCCAATAGTGAGCCCACTCTCTCTACCACTATAAAACATGTACATGTGAAAACGAAGGTCTGATGATACTTGGGTGATATTGATTATAGTTGACATTTATAAAAAAAATATGACACATCGCTTGGGTGCCTTCGGACACCATTTTCAAAATAACATATCACACACGTATCATTTTTAGAATGTGGTTAGGAATACCATTCTTCAATGAAGAGTATTTTATTTTGAAAGTAAAGAAATACTTTAGAATAAAATAATAAAAAATTATCCATCTTTGCCTATATCAATTAAGGAAAAAATTTATATAAGGATGCAATCTTATACAATCTTATATAAGGATGCAATCAATCGGAAAAGGTAGTTTTAATGTTGAAAAACCCTTTGAATGATCATCTCGACATCGAGATGTATGACCATGAAAAATAAAAAATTTTTAAGTCTCATAAATAGTGCATTTTACAACATATTATCTACACTGTCCATTTTCAAAATTTTCAAAATTTACTTGATTTTAACCATTCTTGAAATTTAAAATTTTATAATTA